CACAGGGCTCCAGAGTTCCAAGACACGGTTACTGGCTCAGGAGAGTCGACCCAGGTCGCTGTAGGAACCAGGGAGTAGGTGGACAGGGACATATTTCTGGCTGAAAATAAAAATGAGTGATGAGCGAACATGCTGTCTGGCCTAGAAAAGCCATTTTCTCCATGCAGTTCTGGGTCCTCTAGGATAATATGCACCCCTGCTCTCCATGAGCCTGACCAGTCTCTATCCCCTCTAACCCTGGGCCCTACTCTTAGCTCTGGGGTCTTGCTGTACCCCAAACCCTTACCCTGCCAGCATCTGCTCTGGTCCCAGTGGGCTCTCTTCTTCCCAGTACAGGGTTAACTACTCTGAGTACTCCTCCTGATCCCTGTTTCCTATGAGACCCCAGAATCAGAATCCTGGTCCATGACCACAGAAATGAAACCCATGTAGTTTCAGCCCTGGAGACCCTTCCTGTCATGCCCAGACATCCTCTCAGCTCAGCTCAGGGCAGCTTCTGAACCTCTGCCCTTCTGTTCGCCACCATGAGATCCACTACTTGCCAGCACAGCCAGAGCACCCCATCTAATCTGTGCTCTGCCCTCCCACTCTGAACTTCATCCCCCCCCAAGCCACAGATGCTTCTGAGCTCTCCTAGGCTGGGTATAGGTCAGACCTGACTGAGAGACTTCTTCCAAAGAGGTGATCAGAGGAAAGTGGACATAATCACTCAGCCAACCTAGGACTCTAGATTGTGGCAGCTAGGATTCACACCTTCTATGGGCCTCAAGAGTACCACCTCACCCACCCCTACATGATGTAACCTAGACCATAGCTGGACTCCCCCTTGTGTGTCCCTACCCCAGCCACTGAAACCACCAGAAGAAAGAGGAACTTCAGGAAGTGTCCCGTGTCACCCAGTTTCAATCCTGTTCTTAGTGTTCTGGGTTGGGAGAAGCGTGGCATTCACACCTCTTGGGCAAGGACTGTGAATCCTGGAAGAATGAGACAGAGCTCAGAGCTGAGCTGCTAGTAGCCCAGAGCCAAAGCAAGAAGCAAAGCATTCATCTTCACAAGTCCCCACAGGGGACTGAGGTCGGCAGAGAAGGCTGCGTCTGGAGAAGCCACAGCTAGGGACAGCAGTGGGCCTTTCCAGGCAGCGGATCACAGGAGGATAGGAAGAAGGGGCCTGTCCGTTCCAAAGGAAAGGTGTCTGCCTGCAGCTCAGTGTCACCCAGACAGTCTCCAGGGATTCCGTGGACAGACGCACAGACCACTAAAGCTGTGCACACCCACAGACAACCAGAGTAAGCCTCAAGGAGTTGACAGGGTAGACCCAGAAACCTGGGGGATGGACCTGGCCTGGCCCAGAGGCTGATAGATCCAAGGCAGCTGAACTAGCAGGGAAAGGGGAGCCCAGGGGAAGAAGGGGAGGGCAGAGGCCACAGAACTGAGAGAGAGTGGGTCAGGAGAAAATGTGGAGGGGCAGGGTGTCCATAGCGTGCATCCGGCTGATGCACCCGATGGAGAGAACTCCAGTGAGAGTGGATGTCCTGGGGTTCTGGAATCAAGCCCAGCATCGGAGAGCAGATTCCAGGAGTGAAGATAAGAGAAGGTAAGTTGGGCATGGGGGAGCCTGCCAAAGGACCTCTAGGGACCAGGCAGCTCAGCTTCAGGTGGGCTCAGACTACTAAAGAGTCAAAATAGCTCCAGCTGCTCAGAGGGCAGGTATGGGAAATCTGGGACTGGCGGGGAGTCTGGAAAACTGAGCCAGGCAGCTACAGGTGAGCTGGGACTAGTGGTGGTATGGGAATCAAGCTAAGGAGCTACAGGACGGGGTGGGAGCTGTGTCGAGGGGGATTAATAGGAATCTGTGGCAACCCCAGGGACCAGGAAAAAGCTTCTCAAGGAATCCAGAGCAGATAAGGGGCTGGGAGGTCAGGCTGAGCAACTATAGGGAACCTGTGGTAATTGCCGAGTGTGGGGCCCAGAGAAGCCCTGGGAGCTTAGGGGACCAGTCTGAGCAGCCGTAAGGGAGCGGGGAAGGATTGTATAACTAAAGAACAGGCCGCCCCAGAAGCTCGGAGGACCAAATTGTCCAGCTTACAGAAGGGATGGGGCAGTACTGAGGGCTCAGGGTGGGCAAGTAGCTCGAGAGACCAGGGCAAAGCAGTAACGGGGGAGGGGGAGGGGTAAGATAACCGTGCTGGGGGGGGGGTCCAGAGTAGCCCCAGTAGCTCTGGAAACCAAGCCAATCAGTTAAAATAGGGAATAGCATGGGAGCATGGGGGCCCAGATGAGCAGATGCAGGGGGCCGGAGGTACATAAAAGCCAGACAAAGCCGCCCCAGGAGCTGCAGGACAAGGCTGGGCAGATTCAGGAGAATCAAGGCTGGTAGAAGGGACCAGAACATGAGGAAGACAGGGCTAGAGGGAGTGTGGCAGCCACGCCCAGCAGCTATGAGGGGTGGAAGAGGCAGAGGGACCGGGATGAGGCTGGGCAGCTACAGAGAAACTGGGACAGGTTGGCTTGTGGAAGACCAAACCCAGCGGGAGTGGGGCCAGCTGGGGCAGGTGGGAGACCAGGGAATGGGGCCAAAAGCTACTGGGGAGCTGCGGTTAGTGGAGGAGTAGAGGGCAGTTAGAAGTGCGGGGTATCAGAGCCAGAGGAGGGGGAAAGCGGCCCAGGAGCTCTGGGGACCAGTCTGAGGAGCTGTAGGGGAGCTGGGGCAGGTTGGAGCGTGAGGGGGTCCGCCTAGCAGTTATGGGGAAGCAGGGGCACCAGCTATGGGGCAGCAGGGGCAGGTGGGGTGTGAGGGACCAGACCTAGCAACTATGGGAGAGCTGGGGCAGGTGGAGGGGTGTGAGGGAGTCCACCTAGCAGTTATGGAGAAGCTGGGGCAGGTGGGGTGTGAGGACCAGACCTAGGAGTTTTGGGGGAGCTGGGCAGGTGGGGTGTGAGGACCAGACCTAGGAGTTTTGGGGGAGCTGGGCAGGTGGGGTGTGAGGGACCTACCTAGCAACTATGGGAGAGCTGGGGTAGGTGGAGGGGTGTGAGGGAGCTGACCTAGCAGTTATGGAGAAGCTGGGGCAGGTGGGTATGGGGGAGCCGACCTAGCTCCTATGGCAGAGCTAAGGGACAAAACCTAGCAGTTATAGGGAAGCTGGGGCAGGTGGTGGGGTGTGAAGGAGCAAATGTAGCTCCTATGGGAGAGCAGGGGCAGATGGGGTGTGAGGAAGCTGACCTAGCAGCTATGGGAGGGCTGGGGCAGGTTGGAGCGTGAGGGGGTCCGCCTAGCAGTTATAGGGAAGCAGGGGCACCAGCTATGGGGCAGCAGGGGCAGGTGGGGTGTGAGGGACCGGACCTAGGAGTTTTGGGGCAGCAGGGGCAGATGGGGTGTGAGGAAGCTGACCTAGCAGCTATGGGAGGGCTGGGGCAGGTTGGAGCGTGAGGGAGTCCGCCTAGCAGTTATAGGGAAGCAGGGGCACCAGCTATGGGGCAGCAGGGGCAGGTGGGGTGTGAGGGAGCTGACCTAGCAACTATGGGAGAGCTGGGGTAGGTGGTGGGGTGTAAGGGAGCTGACCTAGCAGTTATGGAGAAGCTGGGGCAGGTGGGTATGGGGTATGGGGCAGGTGGGGTGTGAGGGAGCTGACCTAGCAGCTATAGGGGGCTGTGGCAGGTCAGGGTGTGAGGGGGCCAGTCCTGGCTGTAATGAAGCAGCAGGGTCAGGTGAGGTGTGAGGGAACACACCCGGGAGATATGGGGCAGCAGGGGCAGGTTAGGGTGTGAACGCAGCTCCTATGGGGCAGCAGGGGCAGGTTAGGGTGTGAACGCAGCTCCTATGGGGCAGCCTGGCAGGTGGGGTGTGAGGGACCGGACCTAGGAGTTTTGGGGGAGCCTGGCAGGTGGGGTGTGAGGGACCAGACCTAGGAGTTTTGGGGGAGCCTGGCAGGTGGGGTGTGAGGGACCAGACCTAAGAGTTTTGGGGGAGCAGGGCAGGTGGGGTGTGAGGGACCAGACCTAGGAGTTTTGGGGGAGCTGGGCAGGTGGGGTGTGAGGACCAGACCTAACAGCTACAGAGTGATTAGGACAGGTCAGGTGTGGGAAACTGTAGGAAGCAGCTACAGGGGTGCTGGAGCAGGGAAGAAGGTGAGACAGTAAGTCAAACAGCTATAGCGAAGCTGGACCTTGGGACAGTTTTAGCCTGATGGCTTACAGGAGCGCTAGGCATGTCTGTGTGAGAGGAGCCAGCCAAGCAGCTTCAGAAGGGTAAGGACTCGTGTGGAGGACTAAGCCAAGCAGCTACTGGAGAGCTGGGTTAGTGGGAGCATAAAGGACCAGGTCAAGCAGCTCCGGGAGATCTGGGGCTGTTGGAGGTGTGGGGGATTGGACTGAGAAGGTACATGCTGTCTGGAGCTGGTAGAGTTGATGGTCCAGGGAAACGCAGGAGATCAAGAACTAAGATAACTCCTAAGGCAGATAGGAATGCAGGAGAAGCTGAGCATTTACCAGAGCTGTGGTAGGTATCAAAGTCACGGTCCCAGAGCAGCCCCAGAAGTTTAGAGGATCTGGGCAGAGCTGCAGGGGCTCTGGGTAGGATAGATGGGAGATCTAGGATCCAGAGAAGCTCCAGTAGCTCTGGGGATCAAGCCAGGCAATTACAGGGGAACTAGGGGGGTGGTGTGTAAGAGACAAGACCGTGTAGCTACAGAACAGTTGTCAAAGACAGGAGTATGAAAGACCCACAAGAAGCTACTGAGGAGTTGAGTTGGCGTGGGGCCGGGAAGCAGGGCCCCCAGCTATATGGGAGTTGGAGTGCAAAGCAAGTTCTAGTATCAGAGGCCCTAGCTATGATGCTGGGAGCTTATGGCAACACAAAGAAGTGTGGAGGGGGAGGGTCGAACCTGTTATGGCAGCATGAGTTATGCCCAGAGCTGACCCACAGAAGAGAAGTAAGATAGCCTGAGATGGGAGTTGTGGAAGGTAGGGTTCAGGGTCTGGGAATAAGAAGAGTGAATCATAGGATTTGTGTGTGGTTTTATTCAACAGAAACAAAGGCAGGGAAGACACATGCAAAACTATGTCCTCTTTTGCAACCCGTAACTCATTGTTCAATACAAATTTTGATATAAACAAGAAGAAATGTGCAGTTAAAAAGAAAAGAAGGGACCAAAGTCAGAAGGGATGGGAGACTAGATGCCTTCCTGAAGAATGGGGCACATGCTCCGGGCTACTAGCGAAAGAAAGGAACTTTTCTGGGGCCTGGCAGGGTTAGCACGGTCAGGGAAGACCCAGGACAGTGTGAAGACTAAGACAGGAGGGATGGGTAGCTGAGGTCACCAGGCTTTCATCGCGAGGGCTGAGCTGCATAGATCAGGGAGCAGAAGAGTGGCCAGCCAGGTCAAGACAGAAAGGGTCCCTTCCCACACTCAGAGTGTGCAGGGTAGGGGGTTGGCAGCCATCCCCCAAAGACACAGATAGGGACCAGGAACACAGACTCAGGAGCCAAGCTTGCAGAAGGGTAGGAGGTTGAAGAGGGGATCCTGGAAAGATAAGGGCCTCTGGGGCTGCAAAGGTGACTGTGCATTTTGGAGCACTTGCCACTCTTCCAGGGGACCCCGGTTCGGTTCCAGTACCTACATGGCAGCTTACAACCATCTGTAACTCCAGTTTTAGGGTATCCAGCACCCTCTTCTAGCTCTTGCAGGCACCAAGAACACACACAGTGCACATACTCATATACATAAAATAAAGTGACATTAAAAGTCCAGGGTCTAGAAGAGGAAGCTGCTGACCCTACTTGGCTCAGAGCAACTCAAGAGGACACAGCCTTCAGAGAAAAGCTAAGGACAGTGCTTCTCAAATATCTGGCTCACCATGTCAGACAAGCTCACACATCTTCCTCTCTTGCAGCCACAACAACAGCCCCATCTGTCTATCCACTGGCTCCTGGACACGGAAGCACAGCTGACCCCACGGTGACCCTGGGATGCCTAGTCAAGGGCTATTTCCCTGAGCCGGTGACCGTAACCTGGAACTCTGGGGCCCTGACCAGCGGCGTGCACACCTTCCCTTCTGTCCTGCATTCTGGGCTCTACTCCCTCAGCAGCTCGGTGACGGTATCTTCCAGCACCTGGCCCAGCCAGACCGTCACCTGCAACGTAGCCCACCCGGCCAGCAGCACCAAGGTGGACAAGAAAATTGGTGAGAGGACAACCGGGGAGGGGTAGCTCGCCAGAGGTGGGGCTTAAGGCATTTGCCTTCCTAGGCCAACCAGGCTGGGCTGCATCGCCAGGGAGGGGACCTCAGCCCAGGATAGCAGAAGATCCTGTCTGCCTCCCTCCCAGAGGCCTGTGACCGTCCAACCCAAGGAGTGATCCTCTGGGATAGATAGATATTCCTGTCTCTCAGGTCTTAATCTACCAAGGGTCATTTCCAGGAGCAGCCTGGCCTAACCCCATGACAGACAAACTCTCCCCTCCCCAGCTTGGTATCTTCTCTCCTCCAAACCCCAGTAACATCCATCCTTCTCTCTACAGAGCCCAGACCTACATGTCCTACTAACACTCCGTGTCCGCCGTGTCCAAGTAAGTCACTAGGCCTTGTGCTCCAGCCTCAGAAGGATGGCAAGTGCACTGAGCATCCCTACATTGGAGGGTGACCAGGTGCTGACCCATCCCCATCTCTTATCAGCTCCTGAACTCTTAGGTGGACCATCCGTCTTCATCTTCCCCCCAAAGCCCAAGGATGTGCTCATGATCTCCCTGACCCCCAAGATCACATGTGTCGTGGTGGACGTGAGCGAGGAAGACAAAGAGGTCCAGTTCAACTGGTTTGTAAACAATGAAGAAGTGAACACAGCTCAGACCGAGCCCCTGCAGAAGCAGCATCACAATAGCACCTACCGTGTGGTCAGCGTCCTCCCCATCAAGCACCAGGACTGGCTGAGCGGCAAGAAGTTCAAATGCAAGGTCAACAACAACGCCCTCCCAAGCCCCGTTGAGAAAACCATCTCCAAACCCAAAGGTGAGTTATGTGGAGTTAATGGGGCGGTGTGTGATATACACAGAGAACAGGGCCTGGAATGGACCGCTCTCCACTTAAACGACCTTGTCTACTTCTAACCCCACAGGGCAAGTCCGAGTGCCACAGGTGTACATCTTTCCTCCACCTGCGGAGCAGATGACCAAGAAAGAAGTCAGTGTGACCTGCTTGGTCATGGGCTTCCTCCCTGAGGACATCCACGTGGAATGGGAGAGCAATGGGCGTCCAGAGCAGAACTACAAGAACACAACGCCTGTCTTAGACACAGACGGTTCTTACTTCATGTACAGCAAGCTCAATGTGCCAAAGAGCAGATGGGATCAGGGAAATATCTTCACCTGCTCTGTGATACATGAGGCTCTGCACAACCACCACACGACGAAGACCATCTCCAGGTCTCTGGGTAAATGAGCTCAGCACCCAGAAATCTCTTAAGTCCTACGACTTAAGACACTGGCACCCTCCTCCACCCTCCTCCTGTATAAATAAAGCACCCAGCACTGCCCTGGGACCCTGTGAAACTGTGGTTCTTTCTGAGATGTAGAGGTGAGGTCATGGGCTATGAGGTCTGGTCAGGGTTTGAGGTCTAGTTGTCTTTAGGAAGAGAATGAGGTTTCCGCACTGACAGATCAGGAGTTCATGGGTCCTCCTGAACGGGAGTGCCAGGGCTTAGCCTTCTTCCTTGCCTTCCTGCTAACCAGCAGCTGCTCCACAGAGAAATACACCTAGAAAACCCCCAAGAAAGAAAACACCAAACCCCACCTCCCCCAGTCTATTCTTGTCCCCCTCCCCCACCTCCCTACACAGGGGTTTGGCCATGGGCATGCCAGAGACCCTTGCCATCCCTACACTCCACTCAGGCAGCTTTGCACGGGCTAGGTCTGCACACCCATAGGGACGCTGCACACTCACTCCTGTGCCACAGGGGAGTGAGGCAAATGGCTCTTGGTGCCCTGAGAGAGAGATTACTAGCTACCCACATGCATGCTGAACCCTGACCCGTTAAAACCTCCTGCTGAACATCGCCCAGCCCATATGGCATATGAATACACTCCTAACACATCGTGACTTTATCTGCATGCCCTGCACAACACCCACACCTAGAAATGTATCAGGATACCTTCAGCCACCACCTTAATGTCCACGCCGGTGCCAGTACAATCAAACACAGCCTTCCTCTTCTGACAGCACCTGCATTCCACATGCTCAACACAAGTTCCCTGAAGCCAAATCTGTCTCTGGTCCCTCAGACTCATGTTTCAACCCCACATAAACTACACAACCCATAGGCATAACGGTCTGCATCGCTTCGCAGTGTAGAATTTCTGAAGCCCAGGCATGGACAGACATGACCAGGTACAGACTCTGCTGGTGACGGGAGCACAGCAAAGGGCTACGTGGGCTACACAGCTACTGTTCACTGTGGCTACAGGACCCACTCCCCAGCCACTTTCTCCTGTGCTGAGCAAGGAAGGCTTTTGCTCAATCCAGGGTACTGTCAGGTCTGTTGTGTCTGGCTAATTTGAAGGCAGTTGAGGGCATCTGAGACCAATGTCCCAGAGGGACAATAAAGAAGATCTGGCCCCCGGGAGGATCTGCTGGCCCCAGGGAGGATCGCTGGCCCAGCCCAGCTGGTCCTTTCTCCTCTGCCTCCATGCAGAACACTTTGTCACAAAGGGAACAGCCCCACCTTGTTGGGACAAACACTGACTGCCCCTCTCTATGCAGAGCTGGACCTGGACGACAACTGTGCTGACGCCCAGGACGGGGAACTGGACGGGCTCTGGACGACCATCACCATCTTCATCACCCTCTTCCTGCTCAGTGTGTGCTACAGCGCCACGGTCACGCTCTTCAAGGTCGGCACCGCTCCCTGCTGCCTCCTGCAAGTGTTCTGTGCTGCCCCCAAATGTCCCCACACTCCTCCCCTGGTGTAGTATGATGTCCCTTTGCTGTCCCCCGCTCTGCCCCACACCATCCCCACCACTCCCTGTGCTGTGAGCATTGTTCTCTGTGACTCTCCAGAGTGCCCCGCGCTATCATTCTGTCTCTGTGATACCCTATGTGATCCTCAAGCTATCTCCATTCTGTCCTACGAAACCTCCTTGTATGCCACACTACCCCTCGCGATGTGCCTTGCTGTCCTGTGCTAACTGTCACACTACACCCTCGATGCCCCCAATAGCCTCACCATGGCTCAATGTAATCTTCGAGCTATCTCCACGCCTTCCCAATCGCAACCCCACAGTGTCTCTCCACTGTCTCCTAGTCTGTCCCATCCTGGACCTTCACCATCCCCAATCTCCTACCTATATGAAAGGAGCTGCAGGAGGAAGGGGCCTCTGTCTCACGCACGAGCTTGGGTGTGGTCTCTGACATGCTCTTATCTTCCCACAGGTGAAGTGGATCTTCTCCTCAGTGGTAGAGCTGAAGCAGACAATCTCCCCTGACTACAGGAACATGATTGGGCAGGGGGCCTAGGCCACTTCCTCTGGGATGACCAGGGCTTCATAGTCCTACAGAACCTGGTCCATCTGCACTGTCCTGTGACATTGCCATCCTCTGAGCCTACACCTCTCTGAATCATCACTCTGGATTGTTGACTCTTTGGAGGGCCGTGCGGGCAGCAGGCTTTGTCCCAGACCTGGGCAACACCTTCACAGCAGTTACCAGATAAGTAACTTGTTGGGGCCAAAAGGACCATCTCCCTCCAAACCAGGACCAGAGGATCTGAGGCCTCAGAAAGTCTGCCCAGGAGAATCTGGGAGCCCACATTGCCTTGGTCCAGCTGCATGGGGATCGGCCTTTCCTCACCCACATCATTCTTTGAAAGGGATTTTCCCAGAAGGGGCAAAGTTTTTAAATCCTTGAAAGGAGACATCTGCTAGGAAGACCAGGGTCACCACCGCCCAAAGGAAGCTCCAGAAGAGACCTTGAAAGGTCACTCTGGTAGCCTTTGGGTCAGCTGTGCTTGAGCAGCTTCCTTCCTGGAACTTCTGTGAACTCCAGGCCGAGGAAAGGGTCTGTGTCTCTCAAATTGTTGGGTGAGCCTTCTGAAGATGGGAGTCCTTGCACAGGACCCTCCTCCTGCTACCCACTCAACGTGCTGGACTCTCAGACTCAGGACCTCAAGACAAGACCACTGCCACCTCCACAGAGATCCCAGCCACACTCTGGAGAGACACTTGGAAGGACTGCATTGTCTGGCCTCTGCAAAGCCCTAGCAGTGACAAGTGCAGAGGCCACTGAGTTCTGGCTGGTCACCTCCAGGAGAAGGTCCTGTGAGAAGATTCCTGTCAGCCCTCCCCCACCAAAAAAAAAAAAAAAAAAAAAACCAGAAGATCAAGGAGCAACAGGGAAGAGATGTGAAGGAATAATTAGAAGAAAGCTACTATGTAGTGCATCTGCCCTGTGGTCCCGGTGTCCAGACTGGGCACCTGTTGGAGAGAACATCTGTTGGAACAGGCACCCAGAAAGACAGGAATTGGGGTACCAGGGCTGCTGTGGCCAAGGGACAGTAGTCCCATGTCTATTTCTCCATCACCTCTCAGGGCCAGTGAGAAGGCAGAGTCTGCAGAAAAGAAGAAAAAGTAGGCCCCTGACCTCCTGTGACTGCCAGGGAAGGCTTGGAGAACTCAGACCTTTAGCAGCCTCTTTCTTGTGGAGATTATAAATGTCTTTAAAGCCTCTCTGTGTGTGCCTGTATGTGTGTGTTGCTGTTGTTTATGTATTTTCAATAATAAAACATTCTTCTAATATTCTGTACCTCACTGTGCCCTTCTTGTGTGGACCGGCCCTGACATGCAGGAACAAGCCAGACCAGTGAGCCACGCGGCTCCTCTACCTCCCTCCTGGTCCTGTGTCCTCTCCAAGCTGGAGATTGCCCTGATGGCATGGGCAGGCTGGGAAGCAGGGTCAAAGCCCAGGGTGGCCCCCAGGCTGGCCAGACAAAGCCTCCTACACCAGCCAAGAAGCATGTGCCTCCCAGCGACCTCAGGCTGCTGTGACAAAGGACAGGGATTTAGCTGCCTCCGAAAACTGATGTTTCTTGTCTCAAGCCCTAACAGAAGTCCCAGATGGGGTGCTGACAGGGTGGGTTCTCAGAAGGGCCTTCTCCTCCGTGTGTCCTCACAGGCCGGTCCTCTGTGTGTGTCCATGTCCTGATTTCTCTCCTGAGAACACAGTCAGGCTAGTCACCCTAGCCCTCATTATAACTTACCTGTTCAAGATCCTGTATGTAAGCATAGGCACAGTTTGAGGTCCTGGAGGCTTAAACATCAAACTGATAAATCTTCTGGGGACAGGCATTTAAGGTAGCCTCTCCACTAATGCTTATATTCTCAGTTGGGGTCATCCTCGTGGATCCCTGGAGATTTCCCTAGTGCCAAGTTTCTCATTAAGCCTATAATGGTTCCCTCTATTAAGGTCTCTCTTTCCTTACTGTCTTTCTCTGTCCTTCTCCCAACTCTACCTTCCTGGTCCCTCATGTTCCCCTCCCCCCTCCCCTTCTCCCATCCTCTTACTCAAATCCCTCTCCCCACCCCCCACCCCCGCCATGCTCCCAATTTGTTCAGGAGCTCTTATCCCTTTCCCCTTCTCTGGGCAGGGCAGGGGTGGTCCATGTAAGGGTCTCTTATATTCTTGTCTCCTAGCTTCTCTGGGATTGTGGATTGTAGGCTGCTAATCCTTTGCTCTATGACTAATATCCACTTATGAGAGAGTACATACCATGTTTATCTTTCTGGGTCTGGATGGTTTCTTCTAGTTGCATCATTTGCCTGTAAATTTCAAGATTTCTTTGTTTTTTTCTGCTGAGTAATACTCCATTGTGTAACTGTGCCACCTTTCTTTACCCATTCTTAGGGTTTGGGGGCATCGACGTTGCTTCCGGGTTCTGGCTATTATGAATTATCCTGCTGTGAACACTGTTGAACCGATAAGCCGACATTCCTCTTTAGCATCTACACCTAACCCATGCCAACTGGCCGGTGAGGTCCTGCGCAGTCTCTGCCTAGGTCTGGCCCTGCTCCTCGATTTGTTTTCCCTAGAGCAAGTGTTAGCCTCCAGCAATCTCACCCTGTTTTTAAATTTCTTTAACTAGTATTTATTTCATGTGTGTGTCTGTGTGCCGTGTGCACGCAGGAGTACATGGAAGTGAGGAGAGGCATCAGATCCCCTAGAACTGGAATTATAGATGGTTTGTGAGCCACCTTGTGGGTGATGGGATAGAATCTGTGTCCTCTGCAAGACCAGAATATGTTCTTCGCCGCTGAGCCATTTCTCTAGCCCTGCCTCAACTGACCAAACATATAGACACAAACACCACAACCACCGGACACACCTTCCGAACCTCCAGCTCTGAGACCAACTGATTGATTTCAGGCTGTTTTTCTAGACGTGTCCCTGATTCTATCTGAGTCCTGCCCTGATCTCTGTGGTATGACACCCATGGCATGTTTTCTGTGGCGTGAAATGTTTGTGTGACATTCACTGTGATAATCACATTTGTATGTGTGTGTGAGCTTATCCCCACATGGTGGACATCTATGATATGTCTTTTATGACACGCATATGGACCTCCTATAGAGAATATCAATGACAGCTCCTAACAGGCACAGCCTAGAGGAGGCAGAACTCCTGTGCTAGCCAGGCACAGTGGTAATAGCCATGACTGCCCATACAGAAACGGACACTTGACCAACCTGGGAACAAACACCAGTTGTAGCACCGGGTCACTTGCCTGCATGGGAAGCGACATATACATACATATGACATGTGCACACATGAAGATCATCTCAGAACACACAGAGAGACATGTCCACATGGGGATCACAGTGTGATATCATGTAATAGCCACAGCACAGGGATCATACAGTCACACAAGTCCTGACAACAACATGCATGCTAGCTAATTCCCAGCACCTCTCCCGTCGGATGCAGGACTGAGCATCCTGGCCCAGCAATGTGCCTGTGCCTCAAGCTTTTGCACACACAGATCCTTCATTGTCCTCCCTTCCTGTGTTGATCTCACCACCTCCAACATGCCACCCACCTTCTCTTCTGCGACTGTCCCCACCCAGCCCATCATAGCACGCCACTGCTGTGCTAGCCTCTTCCACTCAATGACCATGAATGTCCATCTTCCAGTGAAACATAAGCTCTAGAGACAAGAATGCCCCGCCCAGATCCATGTTCCTGCAGGTCCATCCAACTGCTGGGCACTCGTGATGAAGTCACACCAGGTCCTGCCCCTAACTAGCCTTCTAATCTGGCAAAGATATCTGCCGGAAACTAAGTGGGTGGTCAAGGTAGGGTGTGGCGCTGCACAGTTGTGCAGAGCAGACTCCAAGTCTCTCACACACACACACACACACACACACATACACTCACACACACATACAGAAGCACACACAGACACACACACACACACACACTATGCAGAGCAGACTCCAAGTCTCTCTCACACACACACACACAGACACACACACTCACACACACACACAGAGACAGACACACACATACACACTCACACACTTACACAGAGACACAGACAGGCACACACACGCACACACTCACACAGACACACACACAAACACACACAGGCACACACACACACATACATACACGCAGACACACACGTGCACCATGTAGTAGCCACAGAATCTTTCCCTGTGGCAGGCTGCAGGTACCCATAGAGAAGAGACCAAGTGGTGGAATTATTTTATATCGGGTGTGGGAGAGTCAGGCCGCAGGGTACAGAGGATATGCTGGAGCCTTCCATGGCTCCCCAAGCATAGCTTCATCCTGGTAGCAGCCCCCTCACCGTCCATTCCCTCACCATTTACTCCACGCTCAGGCGTTCTGCGCATGGGAGGAAGACCCCAGCCTGTCAGGAGGTTTGTAAGAGTGACCGCAGTGTGAGTCTATACAGCTCTGTTCTCTTGCCCCAATAAGAGTGAGTATTTTAATTCTGGCCCTGGGATAGGATATAGTTCAACTGGCAGAGTACTTAAATAGCATGTGGTGTAGCCAGTCATTGTCCTGTGTGAGATTGTGTTTCAGACTTTCGGGGACAAGTACCTGAGGCTCTCCAGAGAAGCACAGCTTCTCTGGTGATGGATAGATGATGAAGGGTGGATGAATACATAAACGATATATGATAGAGTTAGATGGCAATAAAGCTGATAGGTAGGTAGATAACAGATAGTAGAATTTTTATGGGTCAACTTGACTGGACTAAGTGATAGGATGCCTGTGGAGGTGTCTGTGAAGGACTTTATAGGGGGTTAAGTCTTGAGGTCTCCAAATAACCAGTGGGTCAACCCCTTGGTGGAGTCAGAACGTGGTAGCATTACGGAGAAGTGGTGGACAGTAGGAAGAGGGCAGACGGAAGAAGTAGGTTACTGTGGGTATGGATTTGGCATTATGTCTGACCCTGGATGCTATATTCCCTTTATCTCCACTTCCCATCTGTCAAGAAATAAATAGCGTCTTGCACACACTCCTACTGCTATGATGCTTGACTAAGCATGTGAGGCCAAACAAAAACAAATCTCTCCTCACTTACGTTGTTTCTTTGAGGTATCTGGCCACAGTGCAAAAGGCGTTAACACATCTCACAAATCCTGCTTTACCGGAAATCCCTTCAGCCAATCAAATGAGGCCAGCCCCATGATACCTCACTGTAGGTAGAAATGTCTGTCCCTCCAGCCAGCTCCCAAATAATCACAGAGTCTTATCATTAATTCTAAAAGCTCCGCCCACAGCTTAGGCCTGTTTCTAACTAGCTATTACTTAAATTAACCCATGTCTATTATTGCACGTGGTGTCACATGGCTCATAGCTTGTCAGCTCACCTTCTACACACCCTGCCCCCTCTGCCTGACTGATGACTCCACCCTTCTTCCCAGAGTTCTCTCGGGCTGGCTCCTCCTCCCTAGCTATTGAGCTCTTTATTAAACCAATGAAAGTAATACATCTTCACAGTGTACCAAAAGATTATTCCACAATATTTCCCTGGATGCAGAACTCTGAGGAAACTTTAACAGGTATGCTCTGAGAGGCTGGATCACCTAGGCCATCCATTTTCTTTTTCTTTCTTTCTTTCTTTCTTTCTTGTTTTTTTTAATTTATTTTTTATAACCAAGTCCATTTAAATGAAAACAAACATTTATATAGACAATATTTGGGAATTTGGGCGTCGTTCTTTCCAAACTACTTCCTGCTGGTAAGGGGTGCGCTGTCATGGGGGATTCGAAGAAGATTCAGAAATCCTGGCTGTAGTCTGCAAGGCTGCTTGGTCCAGCTGCTTTGAATGTAGGATCACCTGGTACTCTGTTTCAGGCGGTCTGGTGTGATCAAACCACATTAGTCTGGAAGGAATCCACAGCTTTTCATTTTCTGTGGAAACAAAAATAGAAATCCTTTTCCCCAGTAACTTCTCTTTCAACTTAAATTTTGGAGTCAGAGCATTTTTTTAATTTATTATTTTACATGTCGATCCCAGTTCCCTCTCCCTCCCTCCCTCCCTCCTTTTCTCCCTCCCTCCTTCCCTCCTTCCCTCTCTCCCTCCTTCCCTCCATTTTACCCTCTCTGCCCTCTCACATGCACTCTAACCACCCTCCCCTCCCATCCCCCACCCCAATTCCATATGTAGGGGAATGCCATCCAGTTGGGGTCATGTAGATCTGACAGGTCATGTGAAGTAGGGACTAGGGCTTCTCTCCTGTCTCTAGTTAAGGCAGTTATCCCTCCATGGGGGATATGTTAGCAAGGTCCTTTTGTGCACCAGGGATACATCCTGGCTCCACTGTCTGAGGTCCCTTAGACTGCTCAGTCCTTCTGGCTGAGACTCATATTCAGGGGGTAGGCCATCCATTTTCATTGACATCTGCTCCCCTTGTTCTGAAAACACATAAACTTCCAAAGGTAACATACACATCTACATTAACACAAATGTGGAACATCCGGTGTGCCTAAGTCAATTAAAGATGATTTTTTTTTTCTTTTTGGTTCTAAGCTTGAGTAGAAAAGGCATCTGTCAACTTTGTAAGTCCATTTGGGTTGTATAATCAAACTTTAGTATAAATCTCTATCCATGCCGAATGAAAGGATGGCATGTAACAGTAAGTCATGAGGACTCTGCAACCACAAGATTGATCACATTTTATTTTATCGCATCTCAGAGCTACCCATGTCAAAGGATCAGCTTACAAATCCTATAGTCGTTTTTTTTTTTTTTGCTTCCTTCCCATATCTGTAGCCAAGATACTCAGGAGTTCTCCCCCAGTGGAATCTGATCTCTATTAATCTGGATGAAATCCACAGTCTTTCCCTTCCTGTGGAAATAAAAACATAGATTGTCTCCAAAATCAATAACATTTTTACTTACATTCTGAAGTTAGAATATACGGTTTAGAATATACGGTTGGTTGGTTTAGCAGTTTTCATAATCCAGTGTCTGCCAGCAACTATCAAAGTCAACACAATACCATACAGGATCTAGGCGCCCCATGCATTTTCCATCTTTATGTGATTTTTTTCCTTTATATTACTTTACTTTTTCTTTAAAGACTTTATTATTTTTAAACTATTTTTCTATGACTGTCTATACCCTTTTTTCTTAAGCCTACACACATTGTAAAACACACTATAATCTGTTTAGTGGTTTTTGTTTTTGTTTTTGTTTTTTTTTTTTTTTTAATCTGAACCTGCTTTACTGTATGTCTGTAATCTTTTCTGTCTGCATGAGCAAAACCTTCAACTCACCAAGTGCTCAAGGTGCTATGGCGGCTCAAGCTTGCAGGCTGCAGCTCAAAGACAAGTCTCTCTACAGCCACTGGCAAGAGAGACACAAGACTAGGAAGCCACGTTTTTATGTGTTTGGAAGCTGTTTTTTAATCTCTCTCAGATCTTACGTGGATATGTGTGGCCAGATGTAGGTAGGGCCACTCCTGTGGTTTCAGCAGTCATGATTGCAGTATTCTTTGCAGCTCAAATGTGGTTTCCTCGAGGCTATGAAGTATTCAAAGCAGCTGTAATGCCTGGATGACAATCCTACTGGTCTCTAAAAGAAATGTAAGACTACTTAGTCGAGGAAACAGCCAAGCCTAAATACATCACAAGGTCAAATCAGCCTGGCCCCCCAACAGTCCATTTTACATAAAGAAAATGTGAACATTGCAGTATTCCCAGTAGAGACCCGCCATTACACATACACTCACATCCTTGGCATCACTTAGCAGATAGCCCTAAGGAGAGCTGGGCCCTCCTGCCTGCCTCACCTCCACCCAGCCGCCAAAGTATCACTGAGACACAGTTCCACAATTTACAGAGCCGCTGGGGAGTGGGGTAGCAGTCAAACCTTTCCCTGACTCCCAAGTTATGTTCACGCCTACAAACACATGCATGCACACACATACACACCGACGTGTGCGTCTTAGACACGGCCCATCCAGGGACAGATCTGTCCCAGTCGCTGGGATAAAGGAGCCACCCAGGGGAATGGCTAAAGGGGGGATGGATCACGGTGAAACCCTGGCCCAAGAGAGGAGATGGAGTGAAGCCTAGGGCAGGGCATGAGCATCAAATGCACCTTGCTGATGGGGAGGAAAAGGAAGTATCAGCCTGCGGACAGGAAGGGTGGGGCAAGGAGGATTCCTGGAGACCAGAAGGGGGTCACAGTGGCGTCTGCACCAGGAATGATCAGAGCTCCCAGTGGAGCCTATGACTTTAGACGCTACAGCTGCCTCCTCTCCTTCCAGTCACCCACTGACACCCAACACAGAACTCTGAGGTACCCGGAGCCAGCAGCCCAGCCCATCCTGGATGTCAGGCATGGAGGAAGCAGAGGTTCTTGGCCCTTGTGCTCCCAGAGAGGCGGAGCCTCTCCCACTGTTCTGGGCACACCACAGGCAGCTGCACCTGATCCAGCTGGAACTCAGGCCCCTCACTCCTACATTTTCCCCCAGAAGTGTGACTCCTTAGAAGGCTGAGGGCTGAACCCATAACCTCAGACAGACAGTGTATCTGAAAAAGACAAGGTCAGGCAAGGCCCCAATTCCCTCAGATATTACCCCTAGGCCCCTGAAGTTGCTAACTACATCTGACCACACTGACACACCAGCTCCCAGCCTGTCAAGCCCTGCCATTGTCAAGTGGCTCTCTGATATCTCCCAATTATAACTGAACACTCTCTTTGGAAGCTGGATGTCCCCTGATCCCTCGCACTGGCCTAAGAGAGAGGTCTGATCTCCTCCAAATCTCTGTGTGCCTCTCTCAAGAGTCAACACTCGCAAAGCTAACTGGTGGCTCCTATTGCTTGTCCATGTGCTTTCATGGACCTCCAGGAACCATGGGCCTGCAATGACACCAGAGTGTAGCGGGATGGCCAGAAGATGGCCTTGCGCTGCACAGGTCAGTGAAGCACCAGCTATAGCCAAATCAGGCATTGCTAGTCCCCCTAGGGAAGCTGCTGAGCAAAAGCCCAGATTTCTACTTTGTCTTTCCTCTCCTCCCCTGCCACAATGCAGACGTAGACCAGAAGCCTGGAAGAGACACTGACTGTTTCTACACGGTTCCATAAAACCCAGGCATAGCCCAGATGTGCCCTGGCCTTCTGGATTCCCTGCCAGAGTAGCAGGTAGGGGACCCCCAGCTGAAGGACAGTCACTTGTGAGCGAGTGCCAGGGAATGCCACTCTCCTCAGTGTGCAAGCTCCAGAGCTGAGGCGGGAACCAGGGTGCCACTGTCAAAGGTCACTGTCAGGTTGTTCCTCTTTGTGCCTCATTAATCACTCAAGAAGTGGGTAGCACTTCCCTTGAAGTGCTGCCAAATGACCAGAAAAGGCAATGGCGAGTGACCAGTGTCTTCTCGGGACAGTGTCGTTCCAAGGAGGCAAGCACGAAGATGAGAGCTGTGCAGAGGAACCCTGGGACCAGACAACGGAAAGGAGCATGCCTTGCCCAGAACGTGCAGGTGTGTCTCCTAGAAAGAGGCCTCACCTGAGACCCCAACTCTCCCTTAGTCAACTTCCCAAGAACAGAGTAAAAAGGGAACTTCCAGGGCTGCTAAAGTCGGGGGTTCCCACCCCACTTTTAGCCGAGGGCACTGAGGCAGAGCCTCCCCTAGGTACGACCATATGGGCATGAATATAATGATGGTTACCAAAGATTCGTCTGGCAGCCTGTACACGGACAGAGGTGGCTGCAGATGAGGACATCCTGGACAGCCAGAGGACCTCAGGTATTACAGCCCCGGGGACCCTCAGCAAAGGGGTTGCCTAAGTAGCAGGGACAAACAGGTTCCAGGGTCATGGATGGAGAAGGGGACGCCTGGACTTCCTTCCAACATAGACTGAGCCTCTCTTGGTTATTGAATGATTGAATGTCCTCTGGCTATGACTTTCCTGTACTACGCTCACAGATATTAGAGACTGCTTCAGCTGTCCACAAAGACGGGGGACCATGAATCTCAACCAGACAGGGCTGAACAAGACAAACTAAAGATGTCGAGAGCTCTCAAACCCCAGAAGAAACTGGGCATGAAACTGCCTGCAACCACCATACAAGAATGTCATTGAGAGGCAGCAAATGACAGCAAGCAATTGTCCGGTGATGACCTAACTACAAGAGGACAGAGTTCACAGTTGGACCAACCTAGGCAGAACTGGGCTGGGCTGGGTGGGGCTAAACTGATCTGGGCTGGGCTGGGCTGGGCTGGGCTGGGCTGGGCTGAACTAGTTCAGGTTGGACTGGCCTGGAGTAGGCTGAGCAAGTGTAAGCTAGAGTAGGCTTGGCTGATCTGAGTCAGACTAGGCTAGACTGGGTTGACTAGGCTAAGCGGGGCTGGGCTGGACTAGCTGGACTGGCTTGACCAGGCTGAGCTAAACTGAGTTGGACTGGTTGATCTGGGCTGGGCTAGACTGGGCTGTAGCTTTAGATGGGCTGGGCTCAGCTGGCCTAAGCAGGGCAAGGCTTGAGCTAAGCTGGCCTGGGCTAGGCTGGTCAGGGCTGGGCTGACCAGGGCTGGGCTAAGTGGGGTATATTCAGCTGATGTGGGTTAGTCTGGGCTGGACTAGACTGGACTAGGCTGGGCTGAACTGGGGTAGCCTGAACTGTGTGGGGTATACTCAGCTGAAATGGGCTAGTCTGGCTAGACTGGACTGGACTGGGCTAGGCTGAGCTGGACTGACCTGGGCTTGACTTGGTTGAGCTGAGATGGGATGGCCTAGCCATTTTGATTTGAGCTGGGCCGAGCAGGACAAAAACTAAGCTGGGCTTGGCTCAGTTAAATTAGGAGGGACATGGCTAGGCTAGGTTCAACTTGGACTGACCTGAGCTAGTTTGGGTGGACTAGGCTGAGCTGGGCTGCACTAAGCAGGGCTGGGCTGACCTGAGTGGCCTGGGCTATGCTAAACAAGATTATGCTAAGCTAACCTGGGCTGGACTGGGCTGGACTGGGCTGAGCAGAGCTGAGCCAAGCTGAGCTGAGTTGGCCTAGGTTGATTTGAACTGGGTTGAGCAGGGCTGATGTGGGCTAAACTAAGCTGAACTAGGCCAGACTGGGCTGGGCTGGGTTAAACTAGGTTAGGCTGGTCTCAGCTGGACTATACTGAGCTGAACTGGACTGGACTAGACCAGGATAACTTAGGTTGTGTGGACTGGGTTAAGCTGTGTTAGGTTTTGTTAATTTGGCCTTGGATGAGCTGAGCTGGGCTGAGCTAAGAAAGGCTGGATTGGAATGGCTAAGCTGGCCTGGGCTGAGCTAAGCTAAATTAAGTATGGCTGTCCTTGACTGAGCAGGACTGGACTGAACTGGACTGGGCTAAACTGGACTGGGCTGAATTTAGTTGGAATAGGCAGAGCTATCTTGGGTGGACTGGGCTGAGCAGGACTGATCTGAGCTAGGCTAAACTAGGCTGGGCTGGACTGGATTGTACTAGACTGAGCTCAGCTGGGCTGGGCTGAGCTCAACTGAAAAAGTCTGGGCTAGGCTGGGCTGGGCTGAGCTGAGCTGGATTGAGCTGGGCTGAGCTGGATTAAGCTGGGCTGAGCAGGGCTAAACTGGGCTGAGCTGGACTGAGCTGGGCTTAGTTGGATTGAGATGAGCTGAGCTGGATTGAGCTGGGCTGAGCTAGGTTGGGTAGACTAGCCTGAGGCAGACTGGGTTGACCTAGGCTGAGTTGTGCTGGGCTGGGTTGGGCTGAACTGGCCTGTGCTAGGTTAGTTTAGACTGGGTTGGGCTGAGCTAAACTAGCTTGTATGGGCTGAGTGAGGCTGAGTTGGGCTGTGCCAGGATAAGCTGGGCTAAACTAGGCTGAACTGGTATAGGATGAATTTAGCTGAGTTGAGCTGGGTTAGACTTCTGTAAAATGGCTGAGCTATGCTAGTCTGAGCTGAGCTATGTTGAGCTGAACATGGATGAGATAGAATGAGCCAAGCTAGACTGAGCTGGGATGATTTGGGATGAGCTGAACTGGGCTGGTCTGTGCTGATCTCTGCCAGGCTGGTTTGGGTTGGGTTGGGTTGGGTTTGGGTTTTTCCAGACAGGGTTTCTTTGTAGTTTTGGAGCCTGTCCTGGAACTCACTCTGTAGATCAAGCTGGCCTGAACTCACAGACATCCACCTGCCTCTGCCTCCCAAGTACTGGGGTTAAAGGTGTGAACCACCTTTAAGCTGGGTGGGCTTATTGATTTGAGAAGGGACAGGCTAAGATGGACTGGCCTGGGTTGTGGTAAACCAGGCTGAGCTGGGATTGGCAAGGCTAGCCTGAGCTGGCTAAGCTAAGTTGCTCTGGACTGGGACAAACTGCTGTGGGTCTGTTGGTCTGGTTGAACTTTCTGATGTTAAACTGAACTGGGTTTAAGATAGACTGTTCAAAATCATTTATGGGTGTCTTGATTGTCCTCTAAGAAGGTTGTCCTGTTGTAGTCAGATAGACTAACTAGGTAGATCCAAGCAGGTGTAACAGTATCCTGTGCTTTCTGGGGGCCAGGCACAGAGCCGAGCTTGGCCCCAGGCTCAGGGGAATAAGACAGGCATGTGTGCACATTAGAGAAATGTAGGCAGCCACTAAGGTGGTTTCTGAAACGGTTTTATTCTCTAGGTATGTGCTGTCTGGAATCCAAAGGGGTCACCTGGGAGGCAGAACACTATTTAAGTTGGGATATAGCAAAGGTACACTCATGTTCCTGAGAGACTGAGACCAACAGCCTAGGGAGCAAGAGTCTCACCTCTGTCCTCTGTGTGCCCCAAGACAGATTTAATGTGACTCACAGAGGAACTGGTGGTCCTGGGAAGGCCCTGAATCCTCAGGCCCCAAGACTGGGGACAGAAGGGACAATCTGGCAATTCATTGGATCTCTGGGGCCCCAAGCGCTATGGGTACCTGTTCCCTGGAGTTAAACCTAAGGGATATCCTATCCTGGTCCCTCTGTCAATATCACCTAGCCCACTTTGAAGCCACTCCATTTAATCCTGTGAACTGGGGGTTCCTCTCCCTCCTGCCAGTTCCCAAATAACCACTCTGAGGCTTAATGTTAATTACAAGCTGTTTGGCCGATGGGTCAGGAGTCTTCCTGGCTAACTCTACATATATCACCACATGCCCCATGGCTTATCGGTAATGCTCTGGCATCTTACTCCTCCAGCTGGCCTCTCTTAGACTCCACCTTCTTTTTTCCCTGTATCTTTGCTTGGATTTCCCACCCGGCTGTGTTCTGCCTGGGTATTGACCAAATCAGCTACTTTGCTAGCCAACGGTAATGAAGCATATACTCTCAGCATGCAGAGACATCCCACACCAACCATGCAACCCTAATGCCTTCCAGTCTGCCACCCAGATCTACTGCTTCGTGGATAGCCATATCCTAGGTGATGTCACTGTCACCTGGCTAAATTTCCACATAATTTCCCAAACAAGAAAGAAGGAACGCTTCCCACTTCTTCCAAAGCTCAAGTGCTGAGCCAGCTGAGGACAATGAGTGGGAAAACCCTGGCAGGGTGTAAAGAATGGTTGGGGGATATAGTGGGGGCAGGGGACTCCCTGGGTCTGAGCTTGGGCTTAAAGAATGAAGACAGGATCCAGAAGGGTTCTATCCCCCATACTGGAACAGGGTGCCCAGAGTCCTGCTTCTATCACAGCCACCCTAGTCAGACCCCCAGCCTGAAGCACTGCAGTGAGCTGAGTCTAGTCTAACCTAGATCCTTCCTTACAGCGGCTGTCCAGCCCCCTGTCATCTACGCCTTAAAGCCCTGTAATGCAGACACTGCCTCCTCCATGACCCTGGGCTGCCTGGTAAAGGACTACTTCCCTGACCCGGTGACTGTGACCTGGTATTCGAACACCCAGAACATGAGCACCGTGAATTTCCCGTCCCTGAGCTCCGAACTCATGGTCACCACCAGCCAAGTGACCACCTGGGGCAAGTCAGCCAAGAACTTCACTTGCCAGGTGGCACACGCCCCATCCAACTTCAGCAAGAGTAAGGTGATCAAAGGTAAGCAGGGCTGAGCTGGCTACAGTGACAGCAAGGGAGAAGGTGGCCGGGGCAGGAAGGACTTCTCGAGTCTGCCTGTGACAGGAGGGTGGGGAGGGAGTACCCAGCATGCTCCGGGAGCCTGGGCTGAGGCTTGAGGGAACACAAGGCTGGGGAGACATTCACAACTCACTGCCTCTGCCCTAGCGTCACTTGTCAATATCACCCAGCCCACCTTGAAGCTACTCCATTCATCCTGTGACCGCAATGCATTCCACTCCACCATCCACCTCTACTGCTTCATTCAAGGCCACATCCTGGATGACATCACTGTCACCTGGCTGAAGGATGGACAGGAGATGCCCAGTGCATCTCCCAGGGTTTCCCTAATCAAGAAGGAGGGCAAGCTAGCCTCTACCTACAGTGAACTCAACATCACCACGGAGCAATGGATGTCTGAGAGCATCTTCACCTGCAGGGTCAACTCCCAAGGCGAGGAGTATCAGGCCTCTGCCCAAAAGTGCTCAGGTGGGCCCTCACTTGCCTGATGCCCAGACCTCGGAGTTCTGAGGGAAAGGTAGGGTCTCACACAGCCCTTCCCGCCCCACAGAGTATGAACCACGTGGCGTAAGTGCCTACCTGATCCCACCCAGCCCGCTGGACCTGTATGTACACAAGTCTCCCAAGCTTACCTGCCTGGTGGTGGACCTGGAAAGCAAGGAAAACGTCACCGTGGAATGGACCCAAGAGCATAGGAAGCCGGCAGGCTCGGCATCACAGAGTTCCACCAGACACCACAATGCAACGACCAGTATTACCTCCACCCTGCCAGTGGATGCCAACGACTGGATCGAAGGCGAAAGCTATAGGTGCAGTGTGACCCTCCCTCACCTGCCCAAGTCCATTGTGCGCATCATCTCCAAGGCCCCGGGTAAGTACGGGAGACGGGCAGCTCGCAGCCCTCCTTCATGGTCAGAGAAGCTAAAGGCTGGCTAACTAATGTCTGTCCGCAGGCAAGCGCTCAGCCCCCGAGGTGTATGTGTTCCCACCACCAGAGAAGGAGAATGACGGCAAGCGCACACTCACCTGCCTGGTCCAGAACTTCTTCCCTGAGGACATCTCAGTGCAGTGGCTGCAGGATAAGACACTGATCCCAAACACCCAGTACAGAACCACAGCACCCCTGAAGCCCAGTGGCTCCCGTCATGGCTTCTTCGTCTTCAGCCGCCTAGAGGTCACAAAGGCTCAATGGGCACAGAATAAACATTTCACCTGCCGAGTGATCCATGAGGCACTGCAAGAACACAGGAAGCTTGAGAAAACAGTGTCCAAGATCCCTGGTAAATGATGCCCCCCTCCGCCTTTCCCAGGGCTCCGTATCGCTGTGCGGGGGAAGGTGGGTGGCAGACCTCTGCCCACTGCTGTAACAACCGGGAAGCCGCCCCAATAAACACTCAGTGTCTGCTTAGAGCCCTGGGTGCCTGTTCTTGGGGAGGGCGAGTTGTGGGCCAAAGTGTCTTGACACAGAGGAAGGGACATCGCAAGAGACGGGAGAGACTGACGCACAGCCCATCCATCTGGCTGTGTTGGGTGTTTGGCAAACAGGACATCACAGAGGTTCAGCACAGACTGCCCTGGTCCGTCCTGCCCTTTCACAGTGCGTCACGCACTGAAAGAGACCCACACAGACACCGAGGGGCTGAGCGTCTAAATGAACCAGCCTGGGAGGCCTCAGCACCCACCCTTCAGTCTTGCAAGTTTCTGTCCCCAGGTATAGAAATGGCCAAAGTCAGCATCTTGGAAGGCAGGACTCCACATGGACCTGCTCCTTCCCCTCTGTGCTCAGCAGCCATTGGGGCTGAGCCCACAGCCCTGACCACCCCCACTGCCCTGTGGTCATAGCAGGCCTGGATCAGGACCCAGTGTCCTCATCTCACTTCCCAGCCTCACTCCAACCCAAATTCATCTCAAGGACTGGGATAGGCTGCCAGCCTCACACAGTCAGGAGCACTCATCTACGCCATGTTTGCGTGCGCGCACGCACACACACACACACACACACACACACACACACACACACAGCACACGGTTGCAGGTACCTGACAGAGCAACATGCCTCACCCACGCTCACAGGTGACCCATGCTGGGCTTCCCACTACTGTCTGCTAGCTCAGGTCATTCCCAAGCCTTTCCTTTTATAGACTTGAGCCCCTGAGGCCAGGCTTACGCCCTGCTACAGAGCCCAGTGTCTTCCACGTGGCCTCCTTCTGTGACCTCAGCCTCCCGGCCACTCTTCTCTATCTGCTATAACCCTAAGACAGGATGATGCACATGCATGAACACACACACACACACCCCGCATGTAGGCTTCTTCATGATCATGCTCTCTGGTTTAGCAATAGTCCAAAACAAGCTATGCATCCATCCCAGGCCCAGAAGAATAAGGAGTCAAGAGCCAGGACATACCCACACCCACCCCAGGTCTAACCACCAGCACATATGGCTCACACACCTGAGACCAGAGGCTCCCCTCACACACACAGCCACGCACACAAAGGAGCCCATATACACCTACCATACCCAGAGATGAGTGTCAGCCTTTGTGTCTGAGAGACCTAAGAGGCCCACCAATGGCAGAGTTAGCCAGCACCTCGAGGCTGCTTCCAAACCAATCCTTACACTTCAGCCAATGCCAGCCCATGAGAGACAGAGAAAGGTGAATGCCTGAGCTGTGGGAGACCACAGACAGGAAGATGGGCTGTTTGGTAATAACAGTAACCCAGATTACAGGGGGACTGGGGCAAGAGTAGAGCCCCTACAAGGCCAGAAGGCCCTCTCTAGAGTGCCGCAGGCCCGGCTCAGAGCCCATGTGTCCTGATCTGCCCCTCAGAGACCACAGCCAAGATCCCTGGAACCAGAGCCTGCATGCGGGTCCTGCCAATGGGCCTGTGAGCTCAGAGCCCTTCCTGGAGGCCCCTGGGCACTCTCTGAAGGACAAGCCTGCAGGCTGGAGAGAGGCGGAAAGCTATGCTGAGGTGGGGGACATCAGGCCACTTGGACACTGGAGTAGGGAGATGGAATGAGTAGGGGGGGGGGTGGAGAGGACAGCTGGCTTCCAGGGTTAGCTAGAGACTCTGGGCAGTCCTAGAGCAGGTGGGATGGGGACCTCTGCCATTCCGGCTCTTCCCTCCCCACTGTCACCTGGAGTCTGGGGAAGCTGACTGGCTGGTCCCTCCCAGAGCTAGACCTCCAGGACCTATGTGCAGAAGAGCCCGAGAGCGAGGAGCTGGAGGAGTTGTGGACCAGCACCTGCATCTTCATCGCCCTGTTCCTGCTCAGTGTGAGCTATGGGGCCGCTGTCACCCTCCTCAAGGTGGGGTCCTGTACCTCAAGGTGGGTGGGGCCAGGCAGGGCGAGGCCAAGCTGCAGAGCCATCCTCATATACACCTCTTCTCCAGGTGAAGTGGGTCTTCTCCACACGGATGCAGGATACGCCCCAGACCCTCCACGACTATGCCAACATCCTCCTCGCCAGGGCATAGGCACGGGACCGGCTTCCATGCAGGCCTGCAGCCATGTGTGTCTCAGGCTCCTGCTCTGCTCTGGGTGGTAGGAGGGGGCAGAAACCCCCAAAAGGACCGGATTTTGGAACCAACAACCCATAGATCAGCATCCAGAAAGTTTCCGATCAAAGCACCACTGTGGACTGCCCTACCCATAGACACTTTGAGACAAGCTTTGGAAGAGCACGTGTCCCTCACCAATTTGACCTGAGTTTTAGGGTAGATGCTGAACACCTGGGCTCACCCCAGACCAATGGGTTAGGCAGAGAGTCCTACTGTAAGAAATGGATTCTCCCCAAGCAGCAGCAGAGCCTAGCCCTGACTCCAAGCCTCAACCAACAGCCCTACTCTGTCTCTGAGCTCCTTAGTAAAGTTCTTCCCCATAACTCCTGAGAGCACTTTGAGGAGGTGTTTAAGGCCACCATTGGGGTGATGGGTACCAAGGACATGGGCAAGGACCAAAGGGTGAGCAGCATGGGAAGCAAGCAACCATCTCTGCGGGGTCCTCTTCAATACCCAGGGTTTCTGGCCTAGCCTCCACCCAGTCCACCACTCCTGCTGGCCTCCAGCCCAGACTCACTTCCCACTTCTTAAGCTGAAGTGAAGGGCAAAGCCTGAGGGGCTAATGGTGGGATCAGAGCTGGAGCCTCTGGGAACACGGGTGCAGCTCACTGTCCAAGACCACACTCTATCCACCCACTAAGTGCAGGCAGACAGGCTAGTCCCTGACCCTGGAAGGGCTGAGTGAGGACACACAGGCGTGAAAGCCATCCAAACCTAGTATTACCATCCTTGGGACACGAACGCACATTACAAAAGACAGGATTCTCTCATATGCAATGATGGCTCAGGAACCAATATAAAGAAAGACGTCTTTGTGGGAGGAAAAGTCAGTGGTCAATGACTTACAGAAAATGCTTCAGTTTTGAGAACATTTCTAGTAAGAAGGATGCTAGGGTGGGTGTGGCCCTGCTGGGCCCTGGTTGAAGGCATGAGAACTATTAAGGACATTTTGAGGGCCATTTTGAGCTCTTATAATCGTTAAGTGGTGATGGTCTCACAAGGAGTTCCACGTCAGGGTTTTAAGTTCAGCACCATGGGACTTTGGGGAAACTAAGATGGAGATAAGCCTGCCAGGACCAGACCACAGCCCCCAGGTGTCTGAGCCCTCTCCTCTACTGTGCATTCGGGCTTCTACTGGCCTCAGGGCTCCCACAGAAGGCGTGGGTGGTGAAGGCACAAAGGAACACTCCTGCTGGATGCAGAAGACCCAGGACTGGAGGGATAACTGGTCTGAATGGAGGGGAGGTACTGCTCGGGATGTGCCCTGAGCCCCAGCCCTGGCCAGCTCACACTAACATGTGCATTCATGCTAAGGAACACACAGTCCCTCACTTTCAAATGTATGGCAGACACAGTCACACAGATTGCACAGACCCACTCAAATGCATCCAGAGTCAGGTGCCAGGCACATGCGAGTGTACACACACACACACACACACACACACACACACACACACACACACATCACTCTAAAACACACATCTGCTCTATCTCATAATCAAACACACTCTGTCTTTTGAAGACAAGACCTGGTCCACACCCTCCTCCTGCCAGAGTCTCCTAAGCCCTACTCACTTCTAAGCTGAGGCCTACACATCCCTCTTTCCCAACCAGTTCCTAGAGTGGCATCCTTAAAGGCACGGCTCAGTGACTTCTAGTGGCCATCCCTCCAAGCCATGAGACCTCACAGACAGCAAAGTCTCTGCTCACGGGGCACAATGTGGCAGCAAATCCCACCTGGAAGGAAGGACAGTGCACAGGGAGCTGGACTCAGCCCAGACAGCCAGGCTGGTGACCCTGCCTCTGCATACCACGAGTGACCTCCTAGGACCAAGAGGCCACTTTGTCCTCTCTATTCCCTTATCGGTCCACTTGGGAAGTCCCCAAAAGACACAATCCCATCATGGAACCCGTAAGTGTGGTCTTTGGAGAATGGCTCTTCACACTGTGACCAAAGTAACTATCTCAAGATAAGGTCATCAAGGACTAGCCTAGTGGACTCTAACCCAGTGACAAGAGTCGTAAGAGACAGAGGCAGGACCTGGGGAGAATCGGTGCCCGCGTCCTCCAAAACCAAAAGGTGAAAACTGAGAGACGGTAAACAAAGCAGAAGCACTGTGTCCAGCCCTGACCAGGACCATGTGGGAGGCTCCCAAGCTGCCACCACAGTCCACATGCTGCCACTGTAACCCCACACAGAAAGCAACTCTGTGGGACGTCAGCTTAACTGCTGGCCCCGCCTCATAGCCACGGATGGATGCTATAGCTGAATCCCATGTCCCCACATACATGTTTCTTGCCCTTGATGACATGCTGTAGCCAGCTACACTGTGTTAGCATGGTGTCCTGGGAGAATGCCTTGTGACCTGGGCTAGCAAACCCTAAGACCAAAAAAAAAAGGTATGTGGGTCATGAGAATAGCCTCATAGCCTCTGTGGACTAGGAAGCCGCCTTTACCACACTGACCACTCCAGCCCCATGCGTCTCGCTTCCAACCTTGAACCAAGAGATAAACCTCTACTGACTAAGCCTGTGGTATTCTGTAAGAGCAACAGAAATGACTGAGATGGGCAGCCACAATGTCCCCCATTGCTGATGGCTCCAAGCCATGCCTAGACTGATGACAGAACCGACAGAATCTCTTTGAGACAGGCCAGTGTGTCCTGCCAGATCTCTGGAACCATGCTTCCCCACCTCTCCGTCTTCCAAACTGCCTCGACTGGCCTCACGGTAAAGGGGGCTTCCATTTGCTCCACGCTTTCCAAGTCTGATGCAGCAGCCCTGCCCCGTGAAATATCTATCCAAGACCCCAGAAAAAAACGAACTTCCCCAACTCAGCACCCAGCACCGCCTGATGATTTACAACCTCCCATTCCAGACAGGGCCGTTATCCCTGGACGGAGACTATCTGGTGTATGTGTGAGGCTCCAAGGTCGTTAGGATACAAACAGGGCACAATGGCAGAGGCAGCCTACAAAGGGAGGGAACGGTAGGACTAAGTGAAGGATGGAGTCTACCCTGACAATCTCTGAGGGGCCTGTAGGGCAAAGGCCCATCCTGGGAAAGATGTGATAGGAGGCTGTCTCGGGCCCACGAGGGTTATGAATGAAGGGGGCACTGAACTGTGGCCTCTGGGCCCCCACACTGGCCCTCAGCCTGGGCCATCTACTCTCAAGGAACCAGCCATGGGGGAAGCCAGAGCTCATGATGAATGAGCCATTCCAGACACTTATCCCATGCTGGCGTCAACCCTGTGACCTCGAAGGTCTTCTCAGAAGCCTCCTCGCCTTAGGGAGCCCCCTGGAGTAGCCTTGTTCCTCTGGCTCCCTGACATGTTCTCTTGCTCTCCAACTCCGCCTGGGGTATCTGGGTGTTTATTTCACTCCCTTTCCTGTACCTCAGGCCCCAGCCTACCCCTATGGCCACATATGTGGAATCCTGGCCCCACCAAGGCCCATGTGGTCAGACACACCTGTCTCCACCACAGCCAGACCACAGGCCAGACATGACGTGGAGGCAAGCGGCCACAAAGTGGAGGTAGAACAGGAAGTGGCTGAGGGACCCCATCTAGGGGCCAGACTCACAGTCATGCAGCCCCCTCAGCCCCTAGCCTGGCCCATCCACAGGCAACCACACCGAGCAGCAGGGGATGCTGAGGACATAGCTTCCAGCCAAGGCCTTGCCCAGTCCCAAGCTTTCTCCCATAAGGCACATGGCCTATAGCCAAGAGGATGGATGGACCTTCAGTGTGAGAGAGACCACTGGGCCAAGGGAGGCCTGGCGGTTCCCTGTGGAGGGCACTCAACAACCTTGAGCAGGTGGGTCTCGGGATGGTCTGGACTCCTCTGGTCGTTGGGGCACTGAGGGGTCTCAACCAGGCCAGGCCTGGGAACACTTGGAGGAGGAGATCCAAAGAGAGAGAGAGTCGGGAAAATACAGGGCGTGAACACAGGTACAAGGGCTAAAGTGCAGAAAAGAGGAAACTTGATGAAACCCAACTTCCTGGAAAGCAACAGCAAGAGATTAGAGGCTAGACAGGCAGGATCAGCAGACAGCAGCAAGGGGTTAGGGTGACTCAAGTGTCTGTGGCCAAGCTGAGCTGAGCGAGGCTTAGCTGAGATGAATTAGGCTGATCTAGGCTGAGCTGGAACAAGTTAAGCCAAGTTGGGCTGACTGGACTAGTCTATAATGGGCTAAACTGGGCTGGGCTGGTCTGAACTGGACTGAGCTAGACTGGGCTAAGCTGGGCAGAGTTAGGTCAGACTCAGATGGACTAGACTGGTCTGAATTGGGCTGAGCTAAGCTATCTTGGGTTGGGATGCACTGAGCTAGGCTGAGCTGGGCTGGGCTGGGCTAAATCAAGTTGAGCTACACTAAACTGGATTGGGCTGGGCTAAACTGGACTGCACAAGGCTGAGCTTGGCTGGCATAAACTTGGCTGGATTAGATTAAGATGGGATGAGCTATGTTGGCTTGGCCTAAATTGGACTGGGATAGGCTGAGCAAATCTGAGATGGGCTATTCTGGGCTGAAATTGGATAGAGCACACTTAGCTGGGGTACCTAAGCTAGGCTAGAATGGACTGAGCTGGGCTTTGAGAGGTCTAAACTGGATTGAGCTTATCTAGGCTGGCCTAGGCTAGGCTGCATTGAGTTGACCTAGGTTAGATTGGGCTGGTTGAACTGGCCCTAGCTGGGCTGAATGGATTGAAATTGGCATAGGTTGGGATGGGCTTACTGAAATGGACTGGGCTAAAATAGACTGGAATGGGATTAACTAAAATAGACTGAGCTGGGCTAAGGTAGGATGGGATGGGGTGGGGTGGGGTGGGGTGGGATGGGATGGGGTAGGGTGGGGATGGGATGGGGTGGGATGGGGTGGGAAGGGATCCGGTGAGCTAGGCTGAAATAAACTAGATGGCTGGACTAGTCTAAGCTATGCTGAGCTGAGCTGGACTGGGCTGGCATGAGTTGTACTGAACTGGGGTAATAAATTAGACTGGGATAGCCAAACCAGGTTGGCCTAGGGAGTTGATCTGCGAAGACTGAGCTGGGCTAATCTAAGCAGAGCTGAGCTGAGCTGGGCTGAGCTAGGCTGGGGTGAGCTGGGCTGGGGTGAGCTGAGCTGGGCTGGGTGAGCTGGGCTGGGGTGAGCTGGGTGAGCTGGGCTGGGGTGAGCTGTGCTGGGGTGAGCTGGGCTGGGATGAGCTGGGCTGGGGTGAGCTGGGCTGGGGTGAGCTGGGCTGGGGTGAGCTGGGCTGGGGTGAGCTGAGCTGGGGTGAGCTGGGTAAGCTGGGGGAGCTGGGCTCGGGGGAGCTGGGCTGGGGTGAGCTGGGCTGGGGTGAGCTGAGCTGGGGTAAGCTGGGTAAGCTGGGGGAGCTGGGCTCGGGGGAGCTGGATGAGCTGGGCTCGGGTGAGCTGGGTAAGCTGGGTGAGCTAAACTGGGTGAGTTGAGCTGGGCTGAGCTGAGCTGGACTGAGCTGGGTGAGCTGGGCTGGGGTGAGCTGGGTGAGCTGAGCTGGGCTGGGGTGAGCTGGGTGAGCTGGGCTGGGGTGAGCTGGGCTGGGGTGAGCTGGGTGAGCTGAGCTGGGCTGGGGTGAGCTGGGTGAGCTGGGCTGGGGTGAGCTGGGCTGGGGTGAGCTGGGCTGGGGTGAGCTGGGCTGGGGTGAGCTGGGTGAGCTGAGCTGGGCTGAGCTGAGCTGGGCTGGGTGAACTGAGCTGAGTGAGCTGGGCTGGGTGAGCTGGGTTGGGGTGAGCTGGGCTGAGCTGAGCTGGGCTGGGTGAGCTGAGCTGGGATGAACTGGACTGGGCTGGGCTGGGCTGAGCTGGGATGGGGTGGGGTAGGGTGGGGTGGGGTGAGCTGAGTTGGGTGAGAGGGGCTGGGGTGAGCTGGGCTGAGCAGGACTAAGGTGGGCTGGGCTGACCTGGGAGGACCTGGGCTGGGCTGGGGTGGGCTGGAATGAGGTGGGATAAGCTAGACTGAAATGTGCTGATCAGAGCTGGACGAATCTAGACTGGGCTGAACTGGGCTATGCTGGAATGAGCCTGGCTGCACCAGAATGAACTAAGCTGGGATGAACCAGGTTGGACTGGATGAGGAAGGCTGGAATGGTCCAGCTGAGTAGAGTAGGGTGGGCTGAGCTGTAAAGAGCTGGGTTGAGCTGAGCTGAGCTGAGCTGGGCTGGGGTGCCCTTGGGCTAGGCTGGAATGGATTGAGATCACTTAGGCTAGGCGGAGCTCACTGAGCTAGACTAGAATGGGCTAGCTGAGCCGGTCTGGGCCAGCATAAACTGAGCTTGGCTAAACTAGTTGGGCTGGCTAGGCTGGGTGTAGCTAAACTAATCTATACCGGGCTGGGCTGAACAAGGCTGAATATACCTAGGCTGGGCTGACCTAGACAAGGGTGCACTGAGCTAAGTTACACTGGGTTGTCTCAGCTGGGCTGAGCTAGGTTAGGTGTGCTGTCTGAGCTGGCCTAAGATGGACTAAGTTGAGATGAGCTGAACTAGGCCACAATGGACTTGCTGATTGGGCTGGGCTGGGCTGAGCTGGGTTGAGCTGGGCTTGGTTGAGATAAACTGAGCTGCATTGAACTGGGCTGGGCTGAGCTAGGTTGAGATGGGCTGAGTTTGGTATAGATTGGATGATTTTGCTGGGCTAGGCTGGGCTGGGCTAAACTGAGCTGAGCCAGGATGGGATGGAATAGGCCGAGCTGGGCTGAGCTGACTTAGTCTTGTTGGGTTAATCTTGTTAAGCTGGGTTTATCTGGGTTCAGCTGTCCTTGCTAAGGTGAGCTAGTCTAGATTATCTATCTGTGCTTGTCAGAAAGGGCAGAACTAGGATGGGATCAGGATAAACTGTGCTTGGCTGGTTAAGATGAGCTAATATAAGTTAGGCTGGCTGGGCTGGGCTGGGCTGGGCTGGGTTGGGTTGGGTTGGGTTGGGTAGAGCTGGGCTAGGCTTGGCTATGAACTGGGCTGAGATAAGGTTCTACTCCAAGCTTTGCTGGGTTGTTCAGCTCAGTGCTGAGGTAACTGGAAAACTTTGTACTAAATGTAGACCAACCTTTGTTTCATGAGTGGAGCTTGCTCTGTTTGTTTTATGGCAACTCAGTATCCATTTCTCATGCCCTCTTCCTCTCCTCCTATTGCCTGGTGAAAATTCAAGCGTACCTGTAGGTAGCGCCTACACAGCCGAGGCAATGCTCAGATTTAAGTGTCTGATCTTGAAGGTCTACTGCTCGTTAGGTAGGGTGGTAGAGTGGTGAGTGATGGGTCTGAAGCCCTGACAAGGGAAATAAGTGTAAGGTGGAAACACAAGCAAAATGGCCTTCTCCTCCCCAATGAACCTTCAAGCCAGCTCTTCCCTGACCACTCCTACCCTGTGGGGCTGAGCTGCAATCTCCAGTTATCCATCCCTGCTCAGGCCCACTCGCTGTGATCCTCCAAACCCTGGGGTTGAGAACATGGCTGTGCCCACTGGCCAGACAGGAGTGAGGCTCAGAAATCCAGAGCACCGGATTGCTCAGTAGCACAGTCACGTTTATAAAGACACTCGTAGTATGTACAAACTCCTGCTCAAGGCATTTGGCCTGGTCCTTGCAAAAGACAACCTGAAGGTTATGTTCAAAGTCTCTGAAGCCAGATCAGTTCCAGCTGCAGGCACATGCCACAGCGGCTGTGTGATACTGGGCTGGGTTCTCCAGCGTAGAGAAGAGAGAGGCATGGCCCTTCCCCCAGAAACTGTCTCAAGACGGACAGTATGAAGACTGCTGTCTCACTCATGTTCTGTGTTCCAGAGCCCCAGAGAAGTCCCACCATCTACCCACTGAGCCTTCCATCATCTCTGTCAACGGACCCAGTGGTAGTGGGCTGTCTGATAAAGGATTACTTCCCATCTGGAACTATGAATGTGACCTGGAGCAAGAGTGGGACAACCATAAACTTCCCACCTGCCCAGGCCTCTGGGGGCCCGTACACCATGAGCAGCCAGTTGACCCTGCCAGCTGCCGAGTGCCCAGAAGAAGAATTTGTGACATGCTCCGTGCAACAGGACTCCAACCCCGCCAAAGAGGTGGAAGTGCCGTGCATAAAAAATGGTAAGGGAGTCATCCGGGGGTGGGCCAAGTCCTACCCTAACCTGGCATCTGGACCCATGCGTCCCCATCAGGGACCCTCGGAAGTCTCCAGAACAGCTTTTCTAGCAAGCCCATGGAGGGGGCACAGATAGACCAGGGGGACCTGAGGCCCAAGGATGCCCAGAGAAGGGGACAGCGAGGGAGAAAGGAGAAATGTGCTGATTTTCTCAGACTTTTCTTTCATTTCCTATTCCAGGTACTATTGTACTTCCGTGTCCCATAGACTGCAAACCCCACCTTACACTGCACCGGCCAGCCCTTGAAGACCTGCTCCTGGGCTCAGATGCCAGCCTCACATGCACACTAAGTGGCCTGAAAAAACCCCAGAACACTGTTTTCACCTGGAAGCCCACCACTGGGAAGGATGCAGTGACCAAGGGACCTGTGCCAGACTCCTGCGGCTGCTACAGTGTGTCCAGTGTCCTGCCTGGCTGTGCTGAGCGCTGGAATAATGGGCAGACCTTCACATGCACAGTGACCCACCCTGAGTCTGGGACCCTAACTGCCACAATTACCAAAGAGACAGGTGGGCCTAGATGCACCCTGGGGCATTGTGTGAACTTCCATGCTTACATGCCTGCCTCCTCCCTCCAACACACACACTCAACTGCTCCCACCCTGTGTCACAGAGGGAAACGGGGGCTATCTGAGGGATGTGCAGAAGGGAAGGGCAGGAGGGTCCACTCATCTCCCTCTCTGAGCCATCTCTTCTCTCTACTTTCCAGTGGGCGTCTTACCACCCCAGGTCCACCTGCTGCCGCCGCCGTCGGAGGAGCTGGCCCTGAATGAGCTGGTGTCCCTGACATGCCTGGTACGGGGATTCAACCCTAAAGACGTGCTGGTGCGTTGGCTGCATGGAAACCAGGAGCTGTCCCGTGAAAACTACCTAGTGTGGGAACCCCTGAAGGAGCCAGGCGAGGGTGCCACAACCTATGCGGTGACAAGCGTGCTGCGTGTGTCAGCCGAAGCCTGGAAACAGGGTGACAATTACTCCTGCATGGTTGGCCATGAGGCTTTGCCCCTGAGCTTCACCCAGAAGACCATCGATCGTCTGTCGGGTAAACCCACCCAAGTCAACGTGTCTGTGATCATGTCAGAGGGAGATGGTGTCTGCTACTGAGCCACCCTACCTGCCTTTATTCCTTAAATAAACTCTGTGCTCACCCAAAGTAACCCTGCACTTCCATCCGGTGCCTGTCCATCATATCATCCTTAGGGTCTATAGAACGCTGGGAAGGGCTAGGGCCCAGGCAGGGAGGGAGAGCACCCACCAACTGAGCCCCTGAGGCCTCAGAGACTTTGAAGACCTTTCACGCCTCAAGTGTATGTATGTGCGTGCGCCTGTATTAATGAGTGTTTGTGGATGTGTGCCCATGTGCCTTTGTGTGTGTGTGTAACTGTGTGTAACAAGGGGGGGGGCGAGTCTGTGTGTGCTTATGAGTATATAGGAACATATATGGCTGTGATAAGCGCATATGTGTATGCCTGTAAGTGTGAGTAGATCTGTGTCCCTATGAGCATGAGTGTGGCTGTGTATGCCTATGAGTATGCATGTGTCTGTCAGGGTATGCTCATGTTGGTGGAAATGTATGCATGTGCCTGTGAGTGTGTGTAGCTGCATGTGCAGTGAATGGGAAGAAAGGACAAGCTGGGGATGAAATCTGAGATGAGCAGACTCAGCCAAGACAGGAAGAGCTCAGGGCAGAGTCCCAAGGGCAGTGGTTTGCTACAGAAATACTCTGAATGGTGGGCGGTATGGCTGTTTGTGTATTGGATTGCAGCTTCTGGCTCTAGCGAGAAAAGGGTAGACAGCAAGATCAAGGCTGATACCATCCGGGGGTCAGAGTAGAAATAGAAGGAATGAAGAGCTGAATTCAAGGGGCACAGCCCTGAATGGGATCACGTATAGCCATGCAGGGTGACCACTGACTCATATGGAAAGAGATGACATGAGCCCAGACAGCCCCCGGCAACACTGTACTCTGCATACATGTACATGGGCATGCATGTACACACGCGCGCACTTACATTTGCACACTCACACAGACCTGAACCCTGCAAGAGGAGAAAGTTCACACCCCACACTCTGTATACATGTACATGGGCATACATGCGTACACACACACTTATATTTGCACACTCACACAGACCTGAACCCTACAGGAGGAGGAAGTTCACACCCCACACCCAGCTTCTGGAAAGCAAGGGGAGTCCCCTCCCAATCCCCCAGTAGAATTCCCAGGCCCAACTTTAAGAACTACATATAACTAGTGGACAAGGCCATAGGCTCATCCCTGGTGCCCCTGCACCCAACCTGCCCTTTCTAACTTAAGTCTCCCTTCCCACCCTGAGCCCAAGTATATCAAACCACGAACAGGGTAGATAGGGGCAAATCTGGGGAGGAGACAGAAGCACACCATAGAGACCTCTCCCACACAGACCTTCTACATGGGCACCCCCAGAACACAAAGTTCTACAACCAGGTACACTCGGCACCAGGATGCCCACAAGAGGGCAGTGGGAACTCCTATCTCACAGGCCTGCAGAACACCTCCAGGGAGCTAATTTCTAACAACTTCCCTCTGCTCTCGGAGCCACAGTAAAGGCCCTCAGCACTCTCCGCCTTGAGAGTCCAGTTCCCTGAGAATTGCAAGAGCAGCAGACCAACTGAGACACCTGACCCAGAAACGTACTCCAGCCAAGGCCTGATGTGTTACAGGGAGTTCTAGAAAGGAGCCAATAGGTGAAGGGCTGAACCCACAAAGGGGGGATCAGGCAGAGAAGCACAAGGGCACAATGAATAGACGGTCAGAAGAGAGGATGGGTAGGTGGGTGGGTGGGTGGGTGAATGGATGGGATGATGGCTGGACTGACAGAGGGGTAGAATGATAGAGCGATGAGTGGTTGTCTATATCAGCAGCGTATGGTGAACAGTTCCCACGAGCACTTAATATGGAAGTTCTGTGCACTGGGACCCTGAGGGCAGCATGGTTGTCTGAGCAGGAAGCCTTTAAAAGTCTATTGACACCCCTCCTCCAAGTAACAATTCTTAATAATGTGACAGAGTCCTCTGATCACATGTCCAGCCCTCAGTAAGCCAACCTCAGATCCAGAAATTGTGTTGTCCGGTATCTTCTTGAGGGTGCTTGGTCTTGTCCAGCCCCAGTACCCAGGCCATCTTCAGCATAAGAACTGGGGCTTAGTGAGAGATTACTAAGTATCTAAATAGAACTAAGACCCAAGTGGCCTTGGGTTCAAAATGTTCTTGGAGTCACAAATACAGCAATGACCCTTCTGGCAGGTCAGTTCTTCAGTTACGGTCCCCTGAGAGTGATGGATCTTGGGAGTATCTCAAGAACTGCAAGGATTCCAGCCCCTTTCCAGGGACACTGCCTCCTCATCCTCCCTGAGTAAATCTCTGCCCAGAGATAAGGAACTCCCAAGACCACATCCCCAAAGCACAAGGCATGGAAAGGGAAGCCTTAGGTCTGGGCACCCATTCCCATGGGTTTGGATCTAAAAGGTCTTCTATGTCTTACAGAATTTCAAAAGCCATGTCCCTGTATGATACTGGACCAGTCACAAGACACCCTGGAGGAAGAGACACCGGGCGCCAGCCTGTGGCCCACCACTGTGACCTTCCTCACTCTCTTCCTACTTAGCCTATTCTACAGCACAGCACTCACTGTGACAACCGTGCGAGGCCCATTTGGCAGTAAAGAGATCCCCCAGTACTGACCAGGAGCCAGCCACAGGTAACAGTCATGGAGATGGTAGGTTGTGAGGGATTCTGGGGGTGCACTCAGGATATCCCTGTCCCCTCCACGTGTGGCCTTGTAACCCTTCACAGACATTAAGGAAAAGGGACTAAAGGATGAAAACACTCCTTGGATTTAACCCAATCGTCCACAAACCAGTGCTGGAACTGTGGCAGAAATAAAGACAAATCCCAACTCAGGGATGACACAGCCCAACTCTGGGATGACAGAGCCCAACTCCAGGATGACACAGCCCAATTTCAGGATGGCACAGCCCAACACCAGAATGGCATGGCCCAACTCCGGGATGACACAGCCCAACACCAGAATGGCATGACCCAACTCCAGGATGACATAGTCCAACTCCAGGATCTCCTCTGGCTGATCACTCTTGTCTTTGCAGGGATGAAGTGTGGAGAAGGTTCCCTACATTTCAGAGTAAAGACCTATGTAACAACTTCCCACCACCCATCTAACATGCCTTCCTGAGCAATAAACTGATGTGAAAAGCACAATCTCTGACTCAAAATCAAAAATTAATAAAGAATGGAAGAGGGTCAGGGAACGTATGATGATACCAGATTAGAATATGCTTACATCATAGAATGTAGGGGTGTTTGGCAGGGTAGGCACAAGGTGCCCATGGTCTAGGGTCTGAGAGGTAACTTGGATATATGTGTGGCCCAAGCCAAGCACTTAATACTGACTTCATCAAGCGGGTCATATTTGTAGCATCTTCAGACCTGATACCCGGTCATTATTGGGTCTTATTTCTAGACACTTGGTCATGGTACTTTTCACCAGGGTTGAACACTGAACACCAAACACTGGTTCTGACTACAAACTCTGGTCACTGAGCCCCGATTTTGGTAACTGAACCCTGGTCCTGATCAAAGACCTCCAACCTTGATCATGAATACTGACATGATTACTTGTCCTGACCTCTCATTCTAGTCACTGCTCTCTGGTCCTGATCAATGACTCTTGACCTTGATCCCTGGTCCCTGGCCCAGATCACTGAATCCTGCTCCTAAACACTGAGTCTGATCCTCATCACTGAGTCCCTGTTTTGGCTACTGATCACTAGTCTTGAAAATTAGTGATTAATCTGATCACTAGTCTCTGTTCCTAATCATTGGCCCATGGTACTGGTCACTGGGTCCTGTGCTGATCCATTAATCCCTGTCAATAAGACCCTGTTCCTAAACAGTGTCCATGGCTTTCAATCACCATGTCCACTGGGATTCAATCACATGTCCACTGATCACTGGGATTAAATCCTGGTAACTGATTCCAGGTCCTTCTCATTGAACTCTGAATCTCAACACTCACCCCTGGTACTCATTATTCAGCCCTGGTCTTGATCAAAGCCCTCATCACTCAGCCCTGGTCCTCATCACTGACTCTTGGTTATCATCACTGAGCTCTGACCTTCAGAGTATGCTTGGGTTCTGATCACCAGGGGGAGAATTAGAAAACTTGACCCTAGTTCTGATCACAAGGTCTTGTTCGTGGTCTTGGACATTAGACACTAGTCCACAACACTAGTCCATGAGCATAGGTCATGGACATTGGGTCTTGGTATTAATCAATGGGCCCTGACTTAGGCAGTAAGTACTGATACACAATATTCACTTTTAAGACTGGATTATAGCCCCAATTTCTACTTTAAAACACTGGTCCTGCAAACTGGGTTCAGTTCACATGAATTTGTCCTACACCCAAGGATACAGTGACATTGAACAAGAAGTCCCTTATTCGCCTTAAATCTCATACTTATTAGCAAGAACCCTAAAGAGTCAAGAGAAGGTTCCAAAGCCCCCTCAACACCACCGTCCATGCCCTGGGCTTCCAGAGAGACAGTGACTCTCCCCATCTACCTTTCCCAGGATCAGAGGGGGAGGAATGGATGGAGAAAAACACGCCCAGACCACATGAACTGTAACCTATGGTCTGGGGTCTGGAGATCTGGGGTCAGCACTGTGAAGGAGGAGGGCAGACCCGGTGTGGGGGAAGGGAAGGGATGGTCATGTTTGTAACCCTTGTTTTTCTTTCTTCTGAGGTCTCTGTTGTCTATCACCTGCTGAAACACTCAAAATAGCTCAGAGAGCTGAGGGGATCTGAGTCATCATGAGCCCAGCTCAGCCCAGGTGCCCCAAACCAGAGCTACTGTTCTGAGAATCACACTGCACATAGACCTGGCCAGGTGGCCCTGGGGCCTGGGGCCTGGATGAGGGGTTGGAGCCAGGGAAGCCCTGCCAGGAACTGAGGAGGCCTCAGGCCCCATCGCTCAAGGCCAGCCAGGGCCATCCACAGTCAGGCCTTAGGGAGGCCATATTGTGCCAGGATGAGAACAAATCCA